ATATATGATACAATTTGTAATAAAAATACGCGTGTGCATAGATTGTATATATAGCATATATGTATATCGAGAGAGAGAGTTCCTTTAATCCTTAGCCACCATGCCGATTGTCGCATAGATTACTCCAGTCGGGCACATGTTCGCTCCTTAGGTACGAGTCCTTGGTTAGCGAACGCGTTTGGATGAGATCTGTGGCGCCGCACAGGGAGCCGCCCAGCCAGGCTGTGAAATTCTGTTTGCCAATCGCTTGATAGAACTTGAACTGCAATTGGCCATGGAAACGTGTTGCATAGTAGTCATCATTGGCCAGCAGGTGCTGCAGCTCCTGCTTGAGTCGTGCCAGCAGACCCGGCACCATGGCCCCACCTCCAATGACAAAGATGCTCTCCACCAGGGCGCGACGTACATCCATGCTGCAATCGAGTATGGCGCGCAATATCAAATGCGGCAAGCTGTCCCGTTCATTGTTCTGCTCGAAGAGCAGCTCGTAAACAGATTCACGCAAGCTGCCGGGAATGCTAATGACAGCATCATCATCACAGATGCCATATTCCACATTGGGTGGCGCTTGCCTATCCTCTTTGTAGGCACGCTCAAAGCTATTCACAAAGCAGGTGCGCACTTTAATATCCTCCAGGACGCTGGGCGTTAGCAATTGCTCCTTGACGCCCGTTGCTAGCAACTGCCGTTTGATCTCCTCTTCCACTGCTCTGCTGCCGTAGCTCTGATCCTTGAATGCAGACATAATTTGGACGCCACTAAACACAGGCATTATTGTTGTCTCACTGTATCCAATGTCCACAACCAGACCCGTTGGCACAGCCAACGTGGACAGAGCAATTAAATGGGCAGGCACAAAAAGAACCGAGGAGACATCGAAGTGTATGAAGAGTGCTCGGGCTAGGGTCTCTCGTATAATTGTCTGGCCAAATATGTTCTCCACAATTACAAATTTACGCTCCTTTGGGCTGACCAACAGGTGCCTGTAATTAATAAAAGCTTAAGCAACCCATTCGACAATATATATCTCAATCTGTCTAGGTACTTGAAGAAAATAGTTTGCAGAAAGTCAACAATTTGGTCGTATAGTTCCTCCGTTGTTGCATAGTCAAAGAGGAACTTTGTTTTCCCAGTTGTGGTCAACACCACTTCTGTGGGTATTATTTTCCGTGGATGAGACTCCGCCGCAAAGCCGAGCCTGCAAATATGGTCAAAACGATCGGGATGATATCATCATCAGAACATAGTGAATATCTTTCTGCAATCGTTGCACTTACTTGGTATACGCATTGCCAATGTCTAGGACGATTGGGGGTTTCTCTTGCATTACACTTTCGTACAGTGGCATGATTGATATCCTATTCTTTTTAGCTGGCGACAATAATTGTTAACAAACGCAAGCCTCACAGAGGGGCAACAGCTGAGTGTTTTGCATATCGCGCTATCGATAGGCATGCAAACCATTGCGGTATATGCAAAACCGATAGATTTGCTATACTTAAGAAAGAATGTCGCATTTCCTTAAAAGGAGGACAAGCTTCAACCAAAAACAAGGCTTGAAATACTTATAGCAAGACCAATTACAGTTAGACTTTCCAGAATATATTTGTATATTGATAAAATTGATTAAATTTTGTGTTCTAAAATTAACGTACTTTTCAAATGTAAATGAAAGAAGTATCGATATATTTAATGCTCGGCACAGCTGTTTCCAAATTAACATTAAAGAGGGCTTTAATTTGTTTACCTGTACGAGAATTGTCATTGTCAGGTCTCAAATGAACTGTGCATTCTAAAAGCAGTGGACGTTGTTATTCATTCCTACTTTGAGATGGAGCGTGACAAAGGACCACAGGTAAACAATGCGAACAAAATCCAGTTTACGAAATTAACAAACATTCTTCCACAGACCAAGGAGCCGCAAACAGGGAAGCAGGAGATTAAAAATGATGTGAGTGGCGATACTAATTGGGTAGTGCCAACTGTAAAGCCCAAAACTAGCAAAACAGCCAAGTCGGCCACTTTGAAATCGAAGAAGCGTCAGAAAAAGACCAAAAAATCGAAGCATTCGAAAAAATCTCTTAAAAAGAAGCACAAGAAGAAACGGAAATACTCCAGCAGCAGTGATAGCGATAGCGATAGTGATAGCACCAGCTCCACAAGCAGTTCGGATTCTGATTCATCTAGGGAGAAAGCGAAGCGCAGTCGCAAATCCGCAGATAAAGGAATAGCAACTGCTCCACTTCCTATTGTGCCAAAGCCTTTATTGCAGCGCGATAGCTGGATGACTGACAGCACCGATTTAAAGCTGAATACCTTCAGCAAGGAGCGTAAGGAGGCAATAAAGCCTAATGCAAAGCTGCAGCAAATCGACGCCTATAATCCGGCCCAAAACAAAAACGAGCTGAATCCATATTGGAAGAACAATGGCACTGGTCTGCCAGCTTTTAAGAAGCCCGGTGAGGACGACAACGAACGTCCAACACAGTCCATCCCATCAAAATATGTTGGCTCAGCCAATTGGAAGAAGCCAACAAGAAACTTGGATGATTGTTTAGTTAACCCAAATGGCAATGTCGGTGTAGGCCGCGAGTCTCGCGATCGGCCATTTGAGTGCACGGATGGCGAGAAATACCAACGGTCGGTACCCTTGACAGATGATCAATTTAATGCATTGGCCGCACGGGTAGTCAAAGCTGAAATTAAGGGCGATGTGAAATTGGTTGCAGATCTCAACAAGCAGCTCGAGATGGCACGTAAAGCTCGAGCCGAACATCTGGCTAGTGGCAAGAGCCTTGCCGAATCCACAAGGGCAGAGAAGAAGAGTGAGCACATCTTGCTTACACGCGCCGATGCCAGCGGAAATGTGCGTCCACTTTTACAAGCCAAGGCAGCAGCTGATCGCAAGATGGTTGAAAAAATGCAAAAGATGGCGGAAACCACTTCGGATGGGAATCGCTACGATATCAAGCAAATGGTTAATCATATATATATATAAGCTGTAACTATATAGCTTACATTATGTATTCTTTTTTCAGTTTGAACGGGAGAAGTATGCTACTTCAGCTGAATCAAATTTACAATATGCCAATATTGTATCTAAGAATAAGAAACCGAACGATGACCTGGATGGTATTTTCGAAGATCGTGTGCGCAAGGACATAGCCGAGGACAATAACGAGCAGCGCGAACTGAATCGGGCTGTAAAGGAGCAACAAAAGATGAGCGCCACCTTGGACAATTGCGAAAGATGCTTTGACTCCCATAAGCTAGCAAAAGACCGGCTCCTCTCAGTGGGCACTAAGATCTATTTGACTTTGCCCTCGCATGTGGGTCTGCAGCCAGACCATTGCATTTTAGCTTCCGTGCAGCATGTCTCTGCCTGCACACTGCTTGACGAGGACGTATGGGAGGAGCTAACTACTTTTCGTAAGGCTTTAACCCAAATGTTTGCTGCCCAGAAAAGGGATGTGATATTCTTTGAGATAGCCAATAAGTTGTATAAACGTCAACACTTGTCTGTCCATTGTGTGCCCATTCCGCAGTCTAAGGGTGAGATAGCTCCATTCTATTTCAAGAAGGCCATCGAGGAGTCTGAGCAGGAGTGGTCCATTAATAAGCAACTAATATCCTTGGACAAAAAATCCTTGCGCGCAGCTATACCAAAAGGCTTGCCCTATTTCTGGGTACATTTTGGCATGGATCGTGGCTTTGCCCACGTCATCGAGGATCAGGAACGTTTCCCACCGCATTACGCACAGGTTAGCTTCACCAAGAAAAAAAAGAAGAAAATTCTAATAATAGTATTTCAATAATTTCTTTTAATCTATTTAGCAAATTATTGCCGGCATGTTGGACCTTGAAATGCGTCATTGGCGCAATCCGCCTAAGGGACACAACATACACATTAATGTAAAATCATTTACTGATGCTTGGAAGAATTACGATTTTACCAAATCGTAAATGGGTTAATTTTTATTTGTTCTTCGTATCAAATAAAATGTAGCAATTAACAAAACAAAAATAAATAGAACAATACGTACTACTACTATCATTGCATTGAATTTAAAATTGAGCAAGGAACAAGAAATGCACGTTATTATCTTCAATAACGTTCAATATCGATATATTTTTGCTTATCGATAAATAGTCCAGTGCTTTTATTAACAGCACTGATAAATTCCCAATATTGGGTGGCAACCTTTTCATCTACAATAAGCGCAGCCAACTTCGTGAGTCTTGTTCTTTTTTCCGGTTGACTTTGACTAGCAAGGTAGTGCTCGCGTTCGTTTACTCAAATATATTTTTTTTTAGTTTTGAAAATATTGCCGCAAATGCCCAGCAATAAATGAAAATGTGTGTCTCTTAAAGGGACAGAGTGAATCTTGCACTTGAATTAATTTAAAATGACGAAAATTTCATTAAACACTTAAAAAGCAGTCGAATTTGAGATTTGCACAATATTGTTGTCTTTGTTTGCATGTGTGCGTGCGAACGTGTGTGTGTGTGTGTGCGTGCGTGTTCGCGAATAGCAACGTGTTTTTTAACAAAGTTTTTTTATACAATGTTTGTTTTTGTGTTTCTTCGCTTCTAGATGCCAGGTGTCACAGTGAAGGATATTGATCAACATGCCGTCACCAAGGCGGTCGCTGTTTTCCTTAAGAAGTAAGTCTCGTGTGAGGTCTACACAACACTGTATTTTGCCTCTGTGTATGTGTGTGTAGACATAACCTCACAAATGTGCATATTTGTTTGTGTATATCAATGATTTATTAACTTTTGTATATTTTAGGACTGGCAAATTGAAGGTGCCCGACCAGATGGACATCATCAAGACCGCCAAATTCAAGGAACTGGCACCCTACGATCCCGACTGGTTCTACGTGCGTTGTGCCTCCATAATGCGCCATCTCTATCATCGCAGTCCAGCTGGCGTTGGCTCCATCACAAAGATCTATGGCGGACGCAAACGTAACGGCGTGCATCCATCTCATTTCTGCCGTGCCGCTGACGGCGCTGCTCGCAAGGCACTGCAGGCTCTCGAGCATGCCCGCCTTGTTGAGAAGCACCCCGAGGGTGGCCGCAAATTGAGCTCGATCGGACAGCGGGATCTGGATCGCATTGCCAATCAGATCGTCGCCAAGCAGCGAGATGCTGGCAAACAAACTGGCCCAATTGTTATTTCCAAGTAAAATTTTATATGTGGACAACGCGACGAGAAGTCTATAAAAATACAAATCTTATATTTTAGACTTGTAAGAGTTTTCTTTGCATATGCAAAAGCTGGCGATAATATAAACATAAATCACTGAAGTCTATAAAAAGCGCACATCAACAAGTGCCATTTTTAATTGGGTTTCACTATGAATTTCAGAAAGGTCCAATTATGTATATATTAGTAAATTCTTGTGAGTATCTGAGAGCTTAATAAGTCCAAAGCGTAGCAGGGAATCAGGGAATACACAGAAGTCCCTTTAGACTAAGTATAGGCTTGAAGCTACGAAAACTGAATTGTATTCAATTCTATCCTCAATAGAGTGAAATGAATTGATATGACTGATGGTTGTCGGTTAATATTGTATGACGGTTCATAGAACCGACGTTATATATTCTGCTTCTGTGTTGTCGAACGAGTTACTTAGCTCAGACTGTCTATGAAACGAGAATAGCTGGTTAAGAGTGAAGAATCTTCAGAATTGGCTGCTGTGCATTTGTATATGTATACATCTGCCAAAGCAAGAAAAAGGACTATGCATACTGCATCACATCGCCACTGATCCCAAGATGACTTAAAAGTATATGGTACATATGATGCTTTAGATAGGTCATACTTCAGGATATACTTCAGATAGATGGATAGTTGTTAACGGCCTGCTTTAGATGAAAAGCTAATAACTACTACTACACTCTATTAGAGATTTACGTTAATGTAGAGATGTATTGAGAGCAAATGCACTTAAAATCCCCTATGAGGGGATCTACTCTAAAGAATATATGCTTTATAGGGTACATATTGCCCTGTATGTATAAAGAAGAGTTTTGTATAGACTATAAGTGATATATATAGTTAGTTGAAATTGATAGAGTTGGCAGATTTACATCAACTTTGTTGGTTTTATAGTAAATTTATTTAAATTTTAAGAATGTTTGTATTATAGAGCCTTACGACTAGTTTGTGTTTGTTAAATAGTTTACATTTAACCTTTATCTGGCAGATAAATCTCTATTAAAGTCAGCAAATCCTAAACTATCCAAATTGGATACATCTGAGGGGATAAGACTGCTTTAGAGATTGCATATCAGACTCTATCCAGTGCCTCGACCATAACAATGCTGTTACCACGAATTACCTGAAAATATAAATGCCGCATTTTAGCAAATGTTTTGTGGTTAGCCTAGTGCTATACGTACCACCATTCCAATGCTGTTTTTGGTATTATCCTTGCACTCCTCCACCGTATCGTCGAGCACAACGTTCATGAATGGATCGAAACCGCGCAGAATGCCGGTGACAGCGCGGCCGCCATTGAGCTTGAGCATCATGCGCTTGTCCATGTATCTGATAATAAGGAAACAAGTAAGCACTTAGCACATGCACACGTTCACTTACCAACGCGGTAGAGATACTCACTTTTTCAACTCTGGTGGATGTGCTTTCGACATTTTCGTTTATGGAATTTAAAAATTAATTTGTCGCAAATCAAGTCAATGTACATGCAAACGCGATTCGGTGTGACCGCTTGTAAACGTTTGCATAGTGCTGTAAAATGCAATAAAAAGAAATGCACTAAATGTGGTAGTTAGCTATCGTATAAAACATACACATATTTGGGTCATGATAACGATAGTATCGCGAGCATTAAGCGATAGTTTTGCAGCTCTTTCGTAGCAACAGAGCCAACGATAACTGCTAGCATCGGCAATTAATAAGTTTTTAAGTTTATTTTTATTAGGTTTCAAATTGTGTTTGTTTGTTTTTTTATTTGTTTTTTGGTGTAATGTGTATTTATGTTAACTGATAAATAAGGCGAGCATTYAATGAAACCATGCAAATGATGCATGTGAAAGTCGATTGAAAGCGCTAAACACGAAATCCACATAAATCGCATCCGTCGCTGTATGTTTGTATGCGCCCGTGTGCGAGTGTGTGTGTTGGCTGCGCTTGTCTGTGTCTGTTTGTGTGCGTTGTGCGTGCGAATGTGTTAGTGCAGCCAAAGACTTTGTCGTCGCCTATTGACGGGCCCAGCCAAAAGGGCGGGTAAAAGAAAAGTCAACAAACGAGAGAACGAGGGAACTAACAACTCCCTGGCAATTGCAATTGACGGCGCCATAATAACGGAACAAGCTAAAATGTTCACAAAGAAGAAGAAGAAACCGCTGATCTCGATGCCCAGCAATTTCGAGCATCGCGTGCACACGGGTTTCGACAAGCGAGAGAACAAATATGTCGGCTTGCCATTGCAATGGGCCTCCATAGTGGGCAACAATCAAATTTTGAAGTCCAGCAATCGCCCGCTGCCGCTGGTGGATCCCTCGGAGATAACGCCCACAGAAATACTGGATCTGAAGACAATTGTGCGTCCGCATCATAATAACAATAAGGCAGACACAACATCGCTCAATAGCAGCAGCAGCAGCGCCCTGATGATGAACAATCCAGCAATGTTGCAGCAGCAACAGCAGCAACAGTTGCTGCCAAAGACATCGCATGTGGCCCGCTCCAATTCGTTGCGCAGCTCCAGTCCGCCGCGTGTGAGGCGAGTGGCGAATGTGCCGCCCGCTGTGCCTGAGGAGGAGCTGCCATCTGGCACGCCCACGCCTGGCTTYAAGCAACAGCATCTGCAGCAGCAGCAACAGCAGCAACCAATGCCACATAATCTTTTGTATACCAGTCAGCATATCCATTCACACTCACATTCGCATCCACATCCGCATCCACATTCCAATGGTGGGCTAACAGCTCCTTTGGCTGTGCGCACCGATCCGTTCCGGATGCCGCAGCAGCTGCAGCAGCAGCAACAGCAGCAGCAGCAAACGTCGCCAGTCAGCTCTGTGGCCAGCTCGCATCACAACAACAATAATAATATTAGCAACAACAATGGTCAAAGCTATCCAATGTATCCTGCCTCCCAGCAACAACCAAATCAGAATCCACATGCCAACAAAACAGCGCCAACAACAGCAACAGGAGCAGCAGCAGCAACGGCATCGCGTGCCAGCTCCAGCTCGAGTGGTAATGCTGCCGCCGCCGCCCTGGCTGCCCAGGCCCAGGCACAGGCGCAACCAAAGCAGGAGCAAAGGCTGACGCACGAGCAATTCCGTGCTGCCTTGCAAATGGTTGTCTCCGCCGGTGATCCGCGCGAGAATCTGGAGAACTTTAACAAAATAGGCGAAGGCTCCACGGGCACTGTGTGCATAGCCACCGACAAGTCAACAGGTGAGTGATCAATCCGGATAGCTGAGCATTGCATATTAACTCTTCCCTCTCGCTTTCTCTTCCTCTCTCCTTCTCTCTTAATTCCTTGGTAGGTCGTCAAGTGGCTGTTAAGAAAATGGATTTGCGTAAGCAGCAGAGACGCGAGCTGCTCTTCAACGAGGTGGTCATCATGCGTGACTATCATCATCCCAATATTGTGGAGACATACTCCAGCTTTCTGGTCAACGACGAGCTCTGGGTGGTCATGGAGTATCTGGAGGGCGGCGCACTCACCGACATTGTCACACATTCCCGCATGGATGAGGAGCAAATTGCGACCGTTTGCAAGCAATGCCTGAAAGCTTTGGCCTATTTGCATTCACAGGTGCGTGACCAGCATTTCCAACAGACAAGTTGCCAGCAAGCCAGAGCCAAAGCAAAGTTGTCAGCCAAAAGCCTCGCCCAATGCCTTTTCACTTCTCTTCTTTTCTGTCTGCGCACTCTTTCAATGCCTTTCTATTTTCGTTCTTTTGCGCTTTCTTCTTTTGCGACGTTTTGCGGTTTGGTTTCCATTTCCAAATGTCGCCCGTCGCATAGGTAATGCGATAGCCTGTTAAGTGGGCGCTTGGGGACGGCTGGGTCGTTGGGTGGTTGGCTTGGGTAGGGTTGGGTTGGCTACCTGGTTGGGTGTTACGTGCTTTGGACGACCATAAATTTCGCTGACCCAAACCTTTGGCTGTAAATAGAAGTTCAGTTGAATGTGAATAATAGGCTTAGCCAGACTGTTCTTTAAGTATTTCCATATACTTACCCGTATATTATATGTATATATGTATGTGCACAGTCATATTATGTATTTAGATATGTAACTAGTCTACAGGTATATAAATATATGTGGTTGATGAGGCATTTACTAGCGAACATTTGGAATCGACATTTTTCTTATCAAGGAATCAAACAGAGTTTAGAAATACTTAAAGGAAAACGTGAGGAGAGAGGTAAAGTAAGAAAGTGAGTTAGGCTAAACGAACGTAGGAGAGAAATATGGTAGGTGGGAGAAAGATAAACATAGCATGGGAGGCACCAAGATATAAATGAAAAGAGATCAAGAAAGACAGATAGAGAAATAGAGTAATAGAGAAATAGAAATAGAGTAATAAATAGAGTGAGAGCCAGAGCCAGAGAGATTCATGCAGAGAGGGCAGAAGACTCAGAGAGCGAATGAGAAATGTAGAGATATAGAGAGTGATGCAGATATAAAATTAGAAAAGAGAGAGATGCTGACACTGAGAGAGACGCGAGCAGAAACAGTTCCAGACAGAGAGAGAGAGAGAGAGAGATTAAAAGTGATTGCTAGAGGGGTAGTTACAGAGTGAAAAAGAGAGAGGGAAAGCGGCCTATACAGAGAGAGCGAGAACAGAGAACATATCGAGACTTTCGGATTCTTGAGAAGCACAAGATAAAGAGAGAAAACGGGATACAGCAGTAAGAGAGAAGTATACAGATAGATATAAACTCATAAAACTTGAATAAGGCTAGACAATGCTATAAGTATATATGGCAAGAGAGAGAGAGAGAGAGAGAGAGAGAGAGAGTGACCTCGAAAGTTCCTTGCATCAAGTAAAAGTAGAGTTAGATTAAGAATAGTTTATTATTATTTAGACCTATTCATTACAGGGTATCACTCAGTTAATTAAAAAGACAAGGTAGCCGAACTGCTTACAATTCAAAGTTTACCACTTAATATTTCGACTCTATTTAAATTCAAACCATTGCCATTCTCCACTCAAGTTAGAAAATAGCTTTATGGCTAGACAGGGCAACTCTTAGTTATGCACACCCATTCTGACCTAATACTAATTTCATATCCATTTCCACTTGAAACAGGGCGTCATCCATCGGGATATCAAATCCGATTCGATACTCTTGGCCGCTGATGGCCGGGTGAAGCTGTCGGACTTTGGTTTCTGTGCGCAGGTGTCGCAGGAGCTGCCTAAGCGGAAGTCCTTGGTGGGCACACCCTACTGGATGTCGCCGGAGGTGATTTCGCGCCTGCCGTATGGCCCCGACGTGGATATCTGGTCGCTGGGCATAATGGTCATCGAAATGGTGGACGGTGAGCCGCCGTTCTTCAACGAGCCGCCGTTGCAGGCGATGCGACGCATTCGGGACATGCAGCCGCCAAACCTGAAGAATGCCCACAAGGTGTCGCCGCGTCTGCAATCGTTTTTGGACCGCATGCTCGTCCGGGATCCGGCACAGCGTGCAACGGCCGCTGAGCTGTTAGCTCATCCATTTCTGCGACAAGCGGGACCGCCGTCTCTCTTGGTGCCACTCATGCGCAATTCAAGGCATCACACCTGATGCTGATGATGACGATGATCCAATTGGGTTACATCTACTGCTCCCGCTCCAGCTGCTGTTGCCGTTGCTGCTGCCCTTGTTTCTGCTTTCTAGTTTACAAGCTCCACTTAATGTAGTATTATTCCATACTTTTCGTTTCGTTTATTTTTTTTTTATACGGCTACACGGCAATTGCTACTTAAACTGTTAACCAGCCACGCCTCTAACATCCCACACATACACGCTTCATCCAGATCCATATCCACATTCGTATTTTATTTGTTTACTTTCTGTTAAGCATTTTATGTTGGCTACAGCAAATATTTTATATATATATATATAGAAACCCAAAACATATTTTTATTCAAAAGCTAAAAAGTACGCTCTATAAGTCATAGCCACGCCCCCAATTTGTAATTTATAATGATAGATAACAATCTATGGCTATATCTGTAACTAAATCTATGTCTACGTCTCTATAACTAAGCTCGAACGAGAATGTGCCTTGTGACTAGGAAACATTGAAATATTGAA